AGGAGCTGAAGGCTCAGATCATGAGTGTCTTGTTGCAAAATTTAGGCTTAAATGGAAGAAAGTAGGGAAAAACACTAGGCCCACTCAGATATGAACTAAATCATATCCCTGATGAATATACAGTAGAGGTGACAAATAGATTTAAGGAATTAGATCTGATAGAGTGCCTGAAGAACTATGGATGGAGGTTCGCAACATTGTACAAGAGGTAGCAACTAAAACCATCCCAAAGAAAAAGAAATGCAAGAAAGCAAAATGGCTGCCTGAGGAAGCTTTGCAAATAGCTGAGGAAAGAAGGGAAGCGAAAGGCAAGAGAGAAAGAGAAAGATACACCCAATTGAATGCAGAATTCCAGAGAATAGGTAGAAGAGATAAGAATGCCCTCTTAAATGAACAGTGCAAAGAAATAGAAGAAAACAATAGAATAGGGAGAACCCAAGATCTCAAGAAAATTGGAGATATGAAGGGAACGTTTCATGCAAAGATGGGCATGATAAAGGACCAAAATGGCAGGGACCTAACAGAGGCAGAAGAGATTAAGAAGAGGTGGCAAAATTGCACAGAACTATACAAGAACGAGCTTAGCGTGCCTGATAACCATGATGGGGTGGTCACTGACATCGAGCCAGACATCCTAGAATGTGAAGTGAAATGGGCCTTAGGAAAGCTGAGCAACAACAAAGCTAGTGGAGGTAACAGTATTCCAGCTGAGCTATTCAAAATCTTAAAAGACGATGCAGTAAAAGTGCTACGTTCAATTTGCCAGCAAATTTGGAAAACTCAACACACGATTGGAAAAGGTCACTTTACATTCCAATTCCAAAGAAAGGCAATGCCAAAGAATATTCAAACTATCGCACCATTGCACTCATTTCACATGCAAATAAAGTTATGCTTAAAATCCTACAAGCTAGACTCCAGCAGTATGTGGATCGAGAACTTCCAGAAGTACAGGCCAGATTTCAAAGAGGCAGAGGAACTAGAGATCAAATTGCCAACATACACTGGATCATGGAGAAAGCTAGGGAGTTCCAGAAAAACATCTACTTCTGCTTCACTGACTATGCTAAAGCCTTTGATTGTGTGGCAAATTGTGGCAAGTTCTTAAAGAGATGGGAGTACCAGACCATCTTATTTGTCTCTTGAGAAACCTATATGCAGGTCAAGAAGCAACAGTGAGAACTGGACACGGAACCACTGATTGGTTCAAAATTGGGAAAGGAGTCCGGCAAGGCTGTATTCTGTCGCCCTGCCTATTTAACTTATATGCAGAGCACATCATGAGAAAGGCAGGGCTAGATGAATCAAAAGTTGGAATTAAGATTGCCTGGAGAAATATCAACAACCTAAGATATGCAGATGATACCACTCTAATGGCAGAAAGTGAAGAGGAACTAAAGAGCCTCTTGATGCGGGTGAAGACGAAGAGTGCAAAAGTTGGCTTGAAACTCAACATTAAGAAAACCAAGATCATGGCATCCGGCCCTGTCAATTCCTGGCAAATAGATGAGGAAGAAATGGAGGTAGTGACAGATTTTATCTTTCTGGGCTCCAAGATCACCACAGATGGGGACTGCAGCCAAGAAATTAAAAAGACGCTCCTGGGGAGGAAAGCTATGGCAAATCTAGACAGCATATTAAAAAGCAGAGACATCACCCTGCCAACAAAAGTACGTATAGTCAAGGCCATGGTTTTCCCAGTTGCAATGTATGGCTGTGAAAGTTGGACCATAAGAAAGTCTGAGCGCAAAAGAATTGAGGCCTTTGAATTATGGTGCTGGAGAAGACCCCTGCGAGTCCCCTGGACTGCAAGGCGATCAAACCAGTCAATCCTAGAGGAGATCAACCCTGATTGCTCTTTAGAAGGCCAGATCCTGAAGTTGAAACTCAAGTACTTTGGCCACCTAATGAGAAGCAAGGACTCACTGGAGAGGAGCCTAATGCTGGGAAAGATTGAGGGCAATAGAAGAAGGGGACGACAGAGAATGAGATGGCTGGATGGAATCACTGAAGCAGTAGGCGTGAACTTAAATGGACTCCAGAAGATGGTAGAGGACAGGAAGGCCTGGAGGAACATTGTCCATGGGGTTGCCATGGGTCGGACACAACTTCACAACTAACAACAACAAAAAGAGGATTACTTGTATTTAAAGGGAATCACTAAACCACAGATTAAGACCTCAACACCTACCACCTTCCTACAGAAATGACAACAAAATTTCATAATCTTCCTAGAAATTTATGAAGATGGGTATTTTAATTAAAACATTGTTCTCTTCTACAACCTGATCCAAACAGCTAAGAAGGAGATTATTACATTGGAATAAAAGGATAATACAAGGGGCAGTGTAACAAGACATGAAACTGCCATCCAGATAGCAGTAAATGGATAAACTTACTAAAAAGATTGAAAAGTATTATCCTGTAATCGCCAGCACTAGTGCCTATGGCGAACTAGAAGGTAAATTCTTCCTTAAAGTTATCAATTACTGTACTGTAAAAAGAGATCAAATTCAATTAATTATCTCCTACAATTAATTTTTTCATTTTTTTAAGTTGTGGGGTTATATATGAAATGATCTGCTAGAATCAGTTGTGATTCTGCAGCCATTGTTCCAATAAGTGATCCTCAAACAAGTCCTGATCATTGGTTTCAGACAAGATATGAAGGAAAATAATTAAATAAAACCATTGATTCCATTTTCAAATTAATAACAATGCTAGGAACAAGTTATAATGAAAATGATGTATGGTTCTCTGTAAAGTCTCCCCTAAATAGGTTGTAAAAAGATGTTGACATTTCTGGGATGATAAGATCTGGCTTCAATTTTCAAAAGACCAGGATAACATGTGACCACTACCCTTGTGATGCATCACTCTACTGAAAAAAACTTAAAATAGCCATGTTTGACTATAGGGAAGTTGCATACCAGTTCACTGTTGGAAGGTCATCAGTTGCTGGGATCAAGTGAGAAACTGTGCATGGAAATGATGGAAGCTCTGAGAGTATCAGTCCAACCAATAGGACACATGTTATAGAAAACATTAAGTCATACTTTTTAGACAAGGAAAATGCTTCTGCTATATTGCCCCAGTGGACAATAGATTTAGAAGTACAGAAAGTGGTGCATGCAAACTTGGAAGGTAAGAAGTTATTCAACCTTCCATGCACATAACAACAGATATCATCTTGAAGGAAATAACATTAATTGATCTGAAGTTAATTTATCTCAGGTAATTTTTAAATACTAGGCTTAATTCTTCACATGTATTTTTCTTACATGCAGGTAGTCCTCAACTTATAACTAAAATTGGGATCAGAATTTCTGTTGTTAAGCAAGGCATTAAGTGAGTTTAATCTGTTTTTAAAACCTTTTGGTGGCAGTATTGGTTCTGTAAAAGCTTTCAAAGGGTCTTTTCTGTTCATATGACTGGAGTATTTCCCATTCAGAAAATTGTTCACTAGTTCATATTCAAGCAATTTGTATTTCTGAGTTGCAACAACTTCCTTTAAACAAAAATTTTCTATCAAATGAACAGTTTATTTTTATTAAACACAAAAATAAACAATATACAATTATGAAGGAAAAAACTAAAAAAATAGTAGTTAAGGTTCTGTTCTAGAAACCAGAAGACTGAGTCTAGTCCCATCTTAGCATGAAAAGCCAGCTGGGTGACTTTGTGTTGGTCATTTTTCCTCAGCCCAACCTACCTCATAAGGTTGTTGTGAGGAAAAACACAATAAAAAAATTAATAAATGTACCAATCCATGTTCCTTCAGCTTGGCAGGAACTCCAAAGAAACTGCAGAGGATGGATCCCTCCTGATCTAGCAGATGCATAATAGTTTTCTTCCTGGGTTATTAGGCCTGGGCCAAGATTTAGCATCTGGGGGCTTTTGACATCATTGGTCATCATTCAGATAGTTGACCCATTGTCAATGATACAAGATTCCTAGCAGAGGACACCTAGGGATGGTGTGATTATGTATCGCAATTAATTTGGGGACCCAGATAACTAATCTTCCGCTAAAATATATGTAGATACACCATTATTTTCCCTCTGTTCTGCAGATGTCAGATTACAAAACTCTTATTATCATCAATTGTAGCAACACAGCTAAAAGGTAAGAGAATTTATAATTCACTAATGCAATTTGGAAAGTTTGCCGAGTAAAAATAATTACATACAAATAGTCTTGAGTTGGCCAAGTAATCTCTTCCACACAGGTATATATGTGCAAAGAGAAAAGGGGGACCATGTCACTATTTCTACGTCACCCTTCCATGATGCTAAACAGACTTCAGACTATAATTATATTTTATATAGCCATATTACATTGATGACTTATCCTCAGCTTACAAGAAGTTACTACTTCAAGATACTTTTCACAACCAAACTAGATATTCCCTACCTGTGCCTGGATTTTTGTTTCCTAAGTGAGGAACACTGCACTTGCCTCTGTTAAATTTCATTTTGTTGCTTTCAGTGTATTTCTCAAATCTAGTATTTTTGAATTGTATTTCTGTCTTCCATGGTATTCTCCCTTTCAATTTTCTATCTGCAACTTTAATAATTACTTCTGCCTCTTCATCCAAGTCTTTAATCAAAAGACTGAAAAGTAAATCCAGAAATGTTCCTTATAGCTGTTCACTTGATACCTATCTCTAATTAGTCAGGAAAGACTTCTTGATAAACCATGCTGGTTTCTGGTAATTAACACATTGAGAGTAATTTGAGTTTGCTCACAAATATGCTTCTTCCTTATGCACAGGCATTAGAAAAAAGTAATAAATGAATGGGTGGATAGATGGATACTGAACTTTTTGGAAGAGGTCTAGCAAATCACAAATGAAATTGATATTATTCTGTAGAAAATATATTACCTGGGTTTCTATGTAACTTAATTTTTATAGGCTCAAATAACTTACAGGAGAAGCCATGCTTTTGAGAATATTCTCATTTACTACCAAAAAACAAATGTATAGTAAATTCAATTTTTTATACATAAGTGGGTTCCAAATCTTCATTGAAATTCACAATTTGTTTAGCTTTGCTATAAAGTTTTGCATAATCTAATGTACTATATTCAGGATCTGTGTCAATCATGCAGCTGTCACTAGAAGAAGAGAGACTGCAATGGCAAATTTCACAAGCCTGTGTTTGGTGGCAATAGGCTCCCTCCCCAGAAGAACTGCTGCCAGAATCAAAGTAAAAATGCTGGAAGGGAGAAAGACCTGGAATAGCTTTTGTCAGAAAATCTTTCTGCTGATAATGAAAATTCCTCATGTTTGTGGGATACAATGTGGATGCATAGTTCCCTACTAGATGATTGTCTAGCAGCAAGCCATAGCCTTCATTGTATAATGATTCAAACCCACTGTCAGGCTTAGTTTGCAGTGGGTTCTTAAGCACCAGTGATGGCAAAGGTGGAAGCTGATGCAAAGAATCTCCATCCTTGGTGCTTCTTGGTGCTGATGAAGGGTATTCTATTAATCTGCTCATTCTTTGCATTCTGCTGGCTGATTTATTCACACCACACTGAATACTGGAGGCCATGGAACTAGAAAAATTGAAGGGGACTTTCTTTTCAATCTTTTTTGGTTGCAATATCATTCTCCTTTCATAATTGTACTTGAGTTCCCTGGAAAATGGTTGTGTTATAGTAATGTGATTCTCACTCAGGTCCTGCAAGATTTCTTGAATTTTTTTATTGCTTGGAGAACTTACTTCTGGGCTTTGCTTTTGGTTCAGTACTGAAAAATGTCGCTGTCTTGCTCCTTTGCTCAGTGTGCTGAAATTGTGTTCATGTAGCTTCTCCCTAGTAAGTAAAGTGCTGGATTGGGAAAACCATTGATCTTCATCATACTTAGCACCTGAATTCTTCTTATTCACTAGTTTACACTTAGCAGTAATGTCTAATGATATGTTCTCTTGATCTGTATGTTCTAGGTCATCAATAGACCTTTTTTTACTAAGTAATCCTGCTAAGTATTGTGAATTTGAGAGATTAGAATTCTGCCATGGTTTCAGCTCCTGGCTAAATGAAAATGGTAGATTTTCAGTTGCCACTGAAGAAAAATTAGCTGTAGAATGAGAAGGCAATAAATGGGACATAGAAAGAAATGGAGAACCAACAACACTGTGGTTATCCTCTATAGCAGAGGTCCCCAATCTTTTGGGCACCAGGGATCGGTTATGTGGAGAGAGTTTTTTCCACGGACCGGAGGGGGCATGGTTTTGTGTGCTGCCTGCATCCTGCAGATGGGGCTTTGCTTGTTTGTGTGGATCGGTTGTGGCATGCCGCGGCTCGGTACTGGTCCACGGACCGGGGGTTGGAGACCCCTGCTCTATAGCCACCAGTCTCATCAACTTCTCCTTAACAGTGTTCATTTGTTCTTGAAGATTTGCAATTGCTGTATCTTTCTGTTTTAAATAAACTATAATAAATATTTTGATTTAAATGCACCAAAACACAATTAGAGTTTGCATAAAATGAATGTTTGAAAAAAATAGGCCTGCTATGCAAATGAATGAGCTGGAATAAATAATAAATGTTATACTTCAACAAAAATTATCATGTTGGTTAATAATGATACACATACTAAATATACTTAACAAACAAGAAACACATGAGAAGAAAAGCAGAATATTGCTTATCAATCTTATATTAAAAGCCTTTCTGAACACAAAGCATTAACACTGTATGCACTGTTAATGAAATGCAACTTTAAGATACAATGGTACCTTGGTACTCATCCTTAATTGGTTCTGGGAGGCAGGATAAGTACCAAAAATGATGAGGAGCAAACAATTTTTTCCCATAAGTTATAATATAGTGAGTCAAAAGGCAGATAACATCAACAACTTCTAGCTTATGCATTGAATACCAAACAAATGAGTACTGGGACAAATTTTTCATGTCAAAATGCACTGAATACCAAATTTGATGAATTTCAAAGCAGTTGAGTAAAAAGGTACCACTGCACTTTTTCATTTTTCCTTTTAACCTCAGTCTTCAAATATTTGGCATATACTGGAAAAAAGTATTCCTTTCATCTGGACCTAATCTGAAACGCCACAAAACGGACTCTTATTACTTCAGACTAAACGGCAAAGCAAATGCTGAAATCTCCACTTAATATGTGAGGCTATGATTCCTCTTTATGAAATGCTTCATTTATTTCATAAGCCAACTAGATTTTTGCTTGATTAAAGTGGCATAAGCATTGGTTATGGATAGAAAGATTTACCTACAGTACTCAATTGTCCCAAAGGTGCTTTTTCAAAAGGCAATTGGACTTTGTGTTTCCTTGCAGACGTTTCGTTTTTCATCCAAGAGGCTCCTTCAGTTCAGATTCGGAACTGAAGAAGCTTCTTGGTTGAGAAGCGAAAACATCTTCAAGGAAAAATAGAAGTCCACTTGCCTTTTGAAAAAGCACCTTTGGGACAACCATGACCTGAATCTCGATTGATACTCATTTTTTTTTAGTATTTTAAAAAAACTTTAAAAAAGGAAAACACAAGATAGGAACATCACACAACTCATATGTAAGATCATGTTGCATGGCTTTGGGGATTTTTCCCCACTGAAAATTACTAAGTATTCTTCTGACATGTTTCAACCAAATGAAGCCAAAGCATATTCTAAGAATAGTTCCGCTTGCTCAGGAGAACTATCTGTTTAACCTAGGGTTCTATTTTTGGAAATGTTGCTGTAAAAAGTACCTTGCTACTTCTTTTATTCCAAGGATTTTCTGTCTTGTTTACTAAGTGAAGATAGTTGATAAAATTTTCAATGGATTGGTTATATGCCATATCTGCCAGAGAAGTGGCTATATTTAAACCGTTTCCATCATGGGAGCAAAAATCATAGAGTATTTGCTAAATTCCTCTCCTACTGCTGGAATGATAATCAATGAACTATTTTTTTCAGTATGCATTAAAAGATCCTATAAAAGGCTAACTTCTCAAATTTTCCTCCACTTAATAGGTATTGGGAAATATGAAAATAGACCATTTCCATGCAGAGATAGGTGTGCACAGCAACTGCCTTCTCGCACAATTTCTTATTCAGCAATTTGTATCTATATTCTCTTTGAAATGAGCATGTTCTTTTATGATTTATGACATCCAGATAGCATTTTTTTTAATAATATAGATTTCTGGTCACCTGTACATTTTTCCTACCATTCTAAAATATCTGACGGGGAAAAAACACACCATGGGCTACAGTAGTTTTTTCTCTCATGTCTGCCATATTTATCACTCCCGTTACTTAGCCCAGCTCCTGCCCACCTAGCAGCTCGAAACAATGCAAATGCAAGTAGATAAACGGATACCACTTCGGTGAGAAGCTAACAGCATTCCATGCACTTTTGGCATATAGCCATGTTAGCCACATGGCCACAGCAATTGTCTTCAGACAAACGCTGCCTCCCTTGGCCAAGAAACAGAGATAAGCACCATGCCCTAGAGTCAGACACGACTGACAGGGAAAACATTACCTTTTAAATCAGTAGCTTAAGGATGAGGCAGACTTAACCCTTTTTCTTGTTTTTAATCCCATTTTATCTGAAGCTCAGTTTTTATTCTATGAGATACTTTAAATATGTTCATACAGCATGTGAGAATGGTTGCTCAGTGAGGAGCTATTGTATTTTCATTCTTTTTTACTGATTATGTAAGTATTTCCCACCTCTGCAAGCTGCTGCACCATAGTATTTTTTTCGCCGAGCAGCTGGTATATCTCTTCATCACTATACATTGTAGAATGGAAATTCTTGTTGGAACCTGTAAAATATTTGGCCATGTTGCTGGTATCAACTTCTTGTTTTTCAAAAGTCTTCCACTGTCTGATCTGCTGAACATTGAAATAGAATTTTCAGAAGTAAGAATCAAGATAGAAAGAGTACAGTAGACAAAAAGTGAAAGCTATGGAGAAATAGTGGGGGGGGCATGTCTTGAAACTGCTGGGTTGTTTTGTTCTCATAGGTAAAGATCTCATTCCTTTGTACACATGCACACTTTTCATTTGGAAGGCAAAGTTCATTTCCTTTGTCCACGTCTCTTTCTCTCTCTTGAACACGCTTTTCTGGGACAAAGTCTTTTATTGCAGGCCTTTTCACTATTTAAAGAAAGAAGGCAACAAAGCAATGGAGCAGCTTTGTCAGTTGGCAGCTATAGCATCAAAATGTTTCACAGTACAGTACAAAATGTTTGAATCACATATATGAAATAAACTCTTACAAATACCTGAGTTTTTTTTAATCACTGAGGAATACGGGCATCCTATCTTAAGTTTGGTATAAGATTAATATTACTTATTTATTACCTGTGTTATATCATTTGTCAGTTATTACCACACAAATTATGGGGGAAAAAAGATATACCTGTGATCCCAGATTCAAAAATGGCCCTCAAAGCCTCGCCAAAGCCTCTCCAGCTGCACAGCCTAACTATTTTGAGGTGAAAACACATCAAACTTCTTGTGAAATAATTTTAGTACAAATTTTTAAAAGAGTATAACCCCTATGCCTCGCCTCAGTATACTCTCACAATGTAGCCTCTCACATTTTGCATCTTTGCCCCACTCACCATATCTCCCAGCCACCTAAAACCATTTAAATCTGCTTCCTCAGCATGAGAAAGTTCTAAGCTAACCCTCAAACTTCACTCCTAGAAGTATTTTTGCTTTAGAATCCTAAAGCTCTGCTTTAGCTCTGCTTTAATTTTTAATCCACCTACTCTAGACAGATTGCCCAACTTTCTATAATCTGCAAGGTCCTGGAATCTCTTTTTTCCTATTTCACAGCGGTGGTTTTCTAATAAGTAATTTGTTAAATCTAATATTTTAATTTAAAATACCAAAATCTCCTGATCATAAAGAGAAAAATAATTTGATATTTTATTGAACATGGTGGTGGAACATCACACCCAGAATATGGCTGGGTGAAGAGAGATTTTTTTCTGTTGTTTTGTTTTTTGCATTATTATGTAGTCTTAGTTTATAGGCATACTTATTTTTAGCTGTTTTTACTTGTTTAATTGATACTGTAAACTGCCAAGAATCTTCTCTACTGGGCAGCCACAATACATTTAATAAAGTAAATATTATAACCTATCATTTGAATAATACTAAAAGTTATATACTGTTAGGGATAAAATTAATTGTTTATCAAATTTTGACCACAACATAAATTATGAACAAAACACTGTTGAAACTGGGAAACAAATTCCTTAATTGCTTTCTAGAAAATGAGCTCACAAACTCATTCTAGATTTCACTGTAACCTCAAATTCAGTGGGAATTCACTCATATTAAACAATCTCCTGTCTCCCAAACTTTATTGCATTTTACAGACTACAGGAGATAAAGCCAAATATTTAAGACATATTCAGATAAATAGGCCACATTAAAATATATGAATATCTACACTGAAATCAACTGAGGATAGCCCATGGTTTCCATGAGGTTATCTGACAGTGACTTGGAATTGAACCTTCGTCCTGCCAAAGCTCAATGCAATTTAGTTGCTCTTAAGCAAGTAATGTCACCTTTTATAAAGGTTAACAACTAGCACTCACAAGTAGCATTCAATGAATTTTGATGTTATAAGGAGGCACAGACTCTGCTGTGCAATATAATAATGACTGTTGAATTTAATAGGGCAGGTTTCAGGTTTTAAATGATTTTTTATTATTAGCAAAACTCTAGATTTTTGCCATTGATATCTTGAGCTGACCTGAACTTTACTTTTGTAAAATTGGTTCAACCTTATTTCCCTTTACAGTGTGGAAGCTGTGGTATCTGAACAGAAGAATACTGTCTCATGAATCCACAGTCCGATACAATTGGCATATTTCTTTCTCTTTCTGTGCTTTGTCTATCCTTATCTAATAAGTCAAGGACAGTTGCTCACAAGAGGCAAAGTGTGTGAGTTTATGTGCTCATTTAAATTGTATTTGCATTTTTTTCAGGCTAAAAGAGATACTTCATCTTTGGAGAAATCATACTTCAAAAATGGTAACATTATATAAAGGAACAAGAACTAGATTTAAACCATTTTAATGAAATCCTGACATTAAAATCAAAAAGGTGTATACTATGAGGGTTTTTAATTATTCCTCTTCTTACCATTCTACAATTCTACAACTATGTAGTATTAAAATAGGATATGTGGTGTAGCACCCAACTATATAAGTCCTTGAATCACTGTACAGCACAGCTAAGAAAGTGTATTTGCAAGTTCCAGTATGATGAGAGTCCTGCCATGGGCTTGTTGGAATATGAAGCAGAATACATTTATTATGAGCTGAGGATATATAATTGCGTTTTCTTGCCAAGTAAACTATAGTTATCTTACCAATAAGATTAACCATTTTTAATTAATTTGTATATTTTATGTATCACAAATTCCATTTATATGCAAGATCTGGGGGAAAGTAATTTGCAATACCGCTCATTGCTTTCTTACCTGTGGGATAAAGATCAAACAATTTATTGAAGACATACAGACAAAGATTCCTCCTGAAGTTAATCCATATATCAGATTGTGCCACAAATAGAAAAAACTATTAACCACCAGCATAATTCCAATAAAGAGGAAAATAATGGCTACTGCACTTATGAGTGTCAGGGACTGATTAACTGGTGGGCAACTGAGATTATCTGTTAGACCTGCAAGGTAAATTCCATATATCAGTAGGATTCCCTGAAAAATAACACAGAAAATTTTTTTAGTAGGTTCAAACATGAGTTAAGTCTAAACTTCCATTTTGTTAATCTAATCATACACTGATAAAATTTAATAAAATATCCTTACTGCTCACTTGATTCAAAATCAGTGATGGAACAATAGCAGCCATAGTCTAATAATCATCCCTGGATAATATTAGAAGGGATAGGCATCCAGTTCACGTATGATGGAGCTGATACTGCCCTGAACCATATCCTCTTCACTGAAATCTGCCACATGGAATGACTTCCAGTTTACTTTGCAAGATTCTACTTCTGCCAGGTTTGTACAAACTGCCCATACAGAGCCTAGACTTATGTAAATTTGATCCCTGTTGTGGCAAAATATTGACCAAATTTTCATAAGAGCCTGTGGGCAGATCTTGCTAACTCTCAGACCCACAAAAAAGAAAGTTATTAGAAGGATGACGTAAGAGTGTTTCTCTGTCTTTTACCACCTCCAGGTAGGTATTCATACAAAGGTTTGGTCAAGTTTACTTCCAGTCTTTCTCCATCCCTCTTATTTCCTGGTGCTTCTTGTTGACCCAAGAATCCTCTCCATATTTGTGGAAGGGGATAAAGCCACCCAGGAACGTTTTCATCTTGCACCCCAGTCACAGGGATTAACTAGGTGCTTGACAGAACTGCTTGCAATTAGCAGGAAAACTCTCCAAATGCCTATCAGGACCCTAAGGGGTCTGGGGATTTAATAGAACCTCCCAACCAGTATGGATTCCAGGCAATCATTTGCCTCACACAAACCAGGGAGTGATTTGAATACAGCAATGGACTCTTCATAATGTCCTCTATCTTCAAATCACATAATAGCTGCTCTAATAAAGACTAGATCTGAAATAATGCCAATTACATGCCCAACACATGTGCCTATGATAAACTAGTTCAAACCTATGACTGCCATGAATTTCTAGATTATCCTAGAAAACTAGCAAAGAAGCTCCACAACATGGTAACTGAAGTCCCCTGACAGTAAAAGCTGGAAGGACTACAACACCAGCCCAGCCATGAGATTTGGACAGCCAGAAAGCGACTGTTTTACAGAAGCCAGGTGATACATGAGTAGAATTCCTAGCTTGTCTATACTACCCAATATCACATAAAAGCATTTACAGCCCACCACATGATCAGTACTCCTGAATGCCACCAAACCTTTCCCCCTATCCTGGCATTCAAAGCAGATGTAAACTCAGATGTGAGCAAGCAGATTTCAGAGAGTGTGATTTTGCTGCTGTTGCTGAACCAGGTTTCAGTAATACATGTCAAATCCATTTGTTCATTAATATGGACTTGGCATTTACTAGCATCAACCAAAATCCAGGGCCTCCAGCAGTCTGGCCATCTGGCCCTTGTAATAGGTTCTTTTATTGCCACATGGAAACCACTTCTAGATTTTGTGCTTGAAATGGAAAAAGAAATTTTGATTGTGGGCTTTACCAATTAGATAGATTTGATGTTATTGAAATGGCTAGTTTATACTATTTTGTAAACGTAAAAAGTTGAGGTTTGAAGTTGATACTCTATTGTACGAAAGAAAGTTGGAAGTCAATGCCTTTTTTCCCCTTTTTTTCTCCCTTACCTCACTTTTCTATTCCCTTTTCCCTTCCCCATCTTTTCTGCTATTTACTCTGTATTTCGATTGTATCATATATTATAAACTAATAAAACTTTGTAATAGGTTCAGCGAGTAACTAGCAGCCAACTGAAGGCAGCCTTTCCCATGACCCATGTTTTTCTGGTAAAATAGCATTCCTAATGCAAAAGCAAAAGGATAGTCTCCAACAACCATGATATGTGAAGTAACTCTCCAATTTGATGATGAAATCTTGGTACTTTGGGTAGAAGAGGGCAGATTGGGAAGGAAATTACACTACAGTCCCATAACTTAATGCTTTTGCATTATGAATGCTATTTTACCAGAAAAACATGGATCATTCCAAGGGAAAGGATACCTTCAGTTGGCTGCTTTTTACTCACTGAACCTATTTCAAGGGCTAGGTGGCTAGATTGCTGGAAGCCCTGGATTTTGGTTGATGCTGGTAAATGCCAAGTCCATATTAGTGAACAAAACACAGAATTTTGTCCCTAAATTTTGGTGGTACAACTTGGGGGGGGCTGCTTTGATGACCTATTATCCCCCTGCCCTTTATATAAGTTACGTTATAGCTGAATGAAAAAGCTGGATGGTAGCAATTATTTTAAGCTTGTCTTATAAAGTTTCAAGATATACTACAAGTTGCTTTGAATTCAATGTCCATATAGAAGTAGAGGGAACGAAGCATAAGAAGTGTTTCTCATCTTGAGGAAGCAACACCTTCATCAATCAGAAGTAACTTTCACAACTGAGCATAATGAATATAAGAATATTTGTACAAAAAGATTATCCCTAAATTAAATAAATCTAATCTTTAAATATCTAAATATAATGGACAATGAGCTTGTAAGCCTTTCTTTTATCAATGAGATATTGGAATGAATTATGTACCTTAAATCCCAGAAGAAGAATAAACCAAAATTCAGAATAGAGCGATTTACAGATGTATCCATAACTTAGTGTGTAACTCAATCCTTTGTCAGTGACCTGCCGAAGATTAAAATAGCTAAGAATCTCTTAGTTTGCAAAATGTTCAAAATCCTAACACTTTATTTCCATATTCCTATCATAGAATTTAATTCTAAGATATTGTTTTTAAAGAAAGAAATTAAAAACTTGGGAAGGAGGACTTCTGGTTTGCCATCGCAGCAGCGCGGATGCTGCAAGACGAGCTCCGTCTTTCGCATCCGAATTCGTCCCACTGGGGACCCTGGAAAGGGTCGAAAGTCACCCTGTAGGGGGAACGAGCAACGAGGGGACTCCCGCTTGATCGCGGCAGCCCTTCCGTTTGATCCAGGGAAGCCCTCCAAACTGGCAGGGGAAAGAGCGGCCATAGCAATATGGCTCATCATTAAGCTGCTGACAGCCGAAGTCAAAATCACCACCAAGCACCTTTAAAGCAACGCAGATGAAACTGGGTGAGATCTGATCTTTTCTTTAAGACTTTAAGAATTTTTTCCTGTAAAAGCTGCCCAAAGTATTTTTCCCCCTGTGAGGAGAGAGGGAATTTCTACCCCACCCTCTAAGAACATCGGCCACTAACTAACCAGGGGAAACAGAGCAACTATAAGAACAATTTTAATCTAATTGGATATATATGCTTTTGAAACAGGACTAAAAGTATTTCTATTCTTACTGGAGATGTTTGTTTTTATCTAAAACAAAAAAAGAAATAAGACTTGAAAAACTATCATAAAAACTTTGGACTTAAAAAACTTTAAACGGCATCGGTGACATCTTGTGGTGAAGTATGGTATTACAACTTGCTATTGCTTAAAAAAGACTCTAGAAAAAACTTCTCTGACTGACAGCTACCACCTGTGAAAAACTCAACTGCAAAGAAGGAACTTCTGGGTGGCATATCTGGCCTGTTTGAACTATGAATGTAAACTTTTGCTGACTCAGAGCTACACGTGGGGAATTGCTTTCCTATTTCTTTACATGAGAAGCATATGTTATCACACAAGATGATGGAATACCTTGGATTATAAACTCTTACTTGACAAACAATTTCTATTATAAAGACCACCTATAACACGTGAAATAAATGTCCCATACCTAGCTATAAAAAACAAAAAACTATTCTTAACGTTTGATTCTAAAGTCTTCAACTTAACATACTATCAAGAGAATATGGATGAAGATCAGGAAAAAATCCTTTCCATGTTGAAATCAATACATGAAATCATTCTTTCAGCTTGTGACAAAATAAGAGGCAACATAAAGGAACAAGATACCAGCTTAAATATATAAACCCAGATCTTGACTACAACCAAAGAACTAACAATGCAGAAAATAACAGGAGAAGTGGAACAACCAAACACTAAGACAGAGGACTCAATTGACCAACAGATCCAGCCAACAGAAAAATTAGAAAAGGGAGTAACAACATTGAATGGAAAAGACTTTTTACAAAAATCAGAAGAAATTTGAGGAAAAGGAAGAAGAACAGATTGAATGGAAGAAAAACCTATCAGGACAATTGTGGGAAATTGGAGTAATAGGGAGGCGATCTAATGAATACAACTGGGCTAGTTCTTCCCAAAAAAACTGCAACCAACTGGTTTTTCTTATTCCAAACTAGCTGTACCCGGCCACGCATTGCTGTGGCTCAGTCTGGTTAAATGGAAAAGAAAGAAAAGAGAAAGCGCACATTTGTAATATGTTTAATTTCACAATGCTTGTTGGAATTGTAAAATCGTAGCACGTGTTGGTTTTACGTCCAACAGATGGCGCTGTTTTTCAAAAACATGTTTTACCTATCACAGGTGTGACATCTATATAATAGTAGGTATATAAAAACACGTGCGTATTCGAATGCAACGTTGTGTCAAAATTTCAAAGCAATCGGTGAAGAACTTTTGGAGATTAAAGATTTTGAACAAACAAACATTTACATTTTTATTTATATAGATAATATATATAATAATAGAGGGAGAATTATTTGATGATTCAAAAGCATTGACATGGAAGGTTAGTTGGCAAAGGAAGAAAGCCAGAGTAAGACTGAAGAAAATAAGGGTTTTGATTTATTAGAGAGGATTTCATATTACTAATTAGAGGGTTGAATATGGTAGAAAATAGATAATTTTTAGAAAATAAAGTAGCATTATAATTGAATAGGTAAGATGTGTAACAAGACTAATAGACTTTGATATGAAAAAGGAAAAGGGAGAAGTTGAGATAAGGGAAATTTTGGTCACCTAATATAAAATATTTGGAAATCAGTTGAAAATAAGAATTTTGTTTGCCCAATATGAGAAAATAGATATTACCAGAAAAAGGGAGTATTTGAGCTTTTAAAAAATAGACCTAAACGAAAGAATTTATGTATATTACTGATTTATTGGTTAACCCAGACAATACATATAATGGTTTTGATCTATTAGAGGGTAAACTGTATTATTAATTAGATGGTTTAATATGGTGGAAAATAGATAACTTTTAGAAAACAGAATAAGACTATATTCAAATAGATAAGATGTGTATTTAGAATGTTAGATTTTGTTATGAAAAGGAAAAAAGGAAGAAGTTGAGATAAGGGAAACTTTGGTTACCTAAAGCTTGGAAATTATAAATACCAAATGTTAATTTGAATATTGACGGGAAATTAAAGCTTGGGAAGAAAGCAATAACAGAACATTGATTTTATATAAGGATTGAATGCAAACACAATTAAGATATGTGTAAGCTAAAAATTATTGATAAATGTAACTAAGATGTTTTTACTTAGTTGATAACAATAAGAACTGTATTAGCCTAATTTGAGATAGTAGATATTAAGGGAAAAAGAGAGGAAATATCTGATGTTGTAACTTGATTAACCCAGCCACCACGTTGCTTTTTAAATACTTAATTGTAAAATTAGAAAACTAATAAAATATTTAAAAAAAACTTGGGAAGAAACAGACATGGGGGAATTACTTGAACAGTGTCAGTAATAGCCCCTCAATAGCTTGTGTACCAATGTTAAATGTGCATTTTTCTGATAAGGTTTCAGAATATTATGAAAACAGTCTTCTTGAAGAGAACAATTGTTTGAAGACACGTTTACTTACAGTTTTAACAATGTTGTTTTTTATTTATTGGATTTTATGGATAGCTTTTATGATATTATTTTATCTCATATGTTATAAGCTACCTAGAATCAGAAAAGGAAGCAGCATATACATTTTGGCATATTAATTAATTTGTCAGCCTAAGATTGAAATTCTAGCCTTTTTTAATGTTTTATTGATTTCCTAGTTTACATTTAAGTATTTAAAAAGCAGCGTGGTGACTGAGTTACTCGATAACTCAATGACATACAAGTATCTTTAGTACAAGTCTCAAACTACCACATTAAATATTTCCTTTCTTTTCCCCTTAGTATTTACTGTCTCATGTTTAAACCAATACAATTTTTATTATATCAATTAAATAAAAATAACATTCTTACATGTATCAATAATTTTTAGCTTATACATATCCTGGTTATTTTAACAGTCTTTATAGACAATCAATGTCCTAATTAGTTTTTCCCGATTTTTAGTTTCTCATTAATATTTAAATTTAACATTTAATATTTATAATTTCCAAGTTTTAAGTAACCAAAGTTCCCTTTATCACAATTCATCACAAAGTCTAATATTAAGGATACACGTCTTATCTATTGGGATATATTCTATTTTTCACCATCTTACATCATCTAATTAATAATACAGTATAATATTCTTATTTTCTACTAATTTCCAAATGTCTTAAATTTAGTAACCAAAATTTCCCTTGTTTCAACATCAAATACTTCCTCTCTTTTTCTCTTAATGTCTACTATCTCATATTTAAGCTAGTACAGTTCTTATATCAGCTAAGTAAAAACATGTTTATTACATTTATCAATAGATTTTAGCTTATATATATCTTAATTACTTTTACATTCAACCTTTATAAACAAATCAATATTCAAATTTCACTTTTAATATTTATACTTCCAAGTTTTAAATGACCAAAGTTTTCTTTATCGCAATTCATAACAAAATCTGGTATTCAAAGTACACATCTTATCTATTTGAGTATATTCTATTTTAATCCTCAGTAATAAGTCAAAACCCCAATTTTCTTCAGCCTTATTCTAGCTTTCTTTGCCAACTCACCTTCCATATCCGTGCTTTTAAGTCATCAAATAGATCTCCCTCTGTTATTATATATATTATTTGACATAAAAGAGGCCATCCAGTCACCATTTTTGGGGGGAGGGCTAACAAATGGTCTCTCTATTATTCCATCTTGACGCAGTTGTCCTGAAATGTTTATTTTCCCTTCAGTCCGTTCTTCTTGATCCTCAGGTTTCTTCTGGTTTATATAGAAAGTCTTTTCCATTTTCAGTGTTGTCAGTCCCTTTTCTGGGTTTTCCGTTAAGTGTGTTTGTTGATCAGTTGAATCTTCTATCATAGTGTTTGATTGTTCCACTTCTTCTATTATATTCTGTGTAGTTGATTCTTTGGTTGTAATCAAAGTTTGGGTTCATATATTTAGGCTGACATCTTGTTCTTTTCTGTAGCATCTTATTTCTTCAGAAGCTGTAAGAATAGTTTCATAAATTGCTTTCAACATAGAGAGAATCTGATCTTCATCCATGTTCTCTTAGTGGTATGTTAAATTAAAAGCTTTACAATCAGAGAATGAAAATAATTTTGTCACTGAGTATAGAACACAGCTGAGCTTCTCACAGCTGATATCTGCCAAGATTGCAAAAGTCTTATCTATAGGCTGGGCTTCAAGCCAAGTCTCTTTTAGACAATAACAAGTTGTAATATCAGGTTTAGCCACAAGATGTCACCCATACTGTTTTAAAAAAAAATTAAGTCCAAAATTTTTATAATCCTTTTTCCAATTTTACTTCTTTTTTGTAAGCAAAAACCCAAATCTTCAATAAGAATAAAATATCTTTTAGTCCTCAAATTTTAAAAAGATAGAAATCCAGTTAAAATCAGGTTATTCTTTCAGTG